ACATGATGTGCCATTTCAATTCCAGTAACAAGAAATTCCAAACTGATTCAGGAATTCACTCTTGGCAGAGTGGCAAAGAAATCCTGAGGGACTCCATTGGGAATGGGAAGGTTTTACACAACTGTCCTAGGGCATACAGGGGGGCTGGCAAAATTAAAACTCACTTTCTGTACATGCTTCACAACAGAGCCTTGTACAAAGGAGAATTAGAGGTATTTTCCTCATTGTAAGATTTGCACACCAGAGCAAAAAGGTAGAACTGGATGACTACTGAAAGAGCCATCTTTCAGTAAGATCTTCATTCAGCTAAGAAGGGAAAGAAGTCAAGATGAAGGGAGTTTTTACTCCAAACGCAAGTCTGATGCAATTAAGGAAGTGCCATTTGTTATTTCAGGAGGAATATCCTTTTCTCTGTAGGGTCTGGCACTAAGTAAAGTGAAATGAAAATCTGCATAAGCAAAGGGAACACCTCTGTAAGATAATCCTGAAATAGCAACAGGTAAAGGTAGTACACTGCAATTGACTATCATTTCATGATTTTCCAATTAACTTTAGCAGAAAGTCACCCTGCTACATTCCTCATTGTGGTGGTGCTGTATTATATAGCTCGACTGGCATTCACAAAGCCTGTCATGAGTTAAGATGGCACCTCATGGCTAGTGCAATCCTGTTTTTAGTGGAAAGTTAGAATAAGAAAAATAATGACTTTCTTGACATGAAATGATGGTACTGGCTCTCCTTCAAAAGTCTAAAGTAAGAAAAGAAACCGTTTCTTCCCTTGGGGACATGGACTCTAATGAGTGGCCAGAAGTACAGCTAGCCACTGATTTTTCAAGAAGGAAGTTTATTTTCACTTCTCTGGTAAATTTACATGAAAAAGAGGGGTGAGCATCTGCTGACAGAGAACAGCCTCTGAATGTGCTAAAAGCTCCTGAAATCATTACCAGCCACCTTCCTAAAACTCCAACTCTGGCTCAGTTCAGCTGAGGTCTTCAGGTTTCCCTCACCTCACCATTATTATGAAACAACTTGTGCATGTCTTTCCACTCCTGCCCTACCCCTCCAAACAACGCACGTGCAGGTCCCCATCAACTCTGGCCCCTCTCCTCCCCACCAGGAACACAAGTACCTTCTCTAAGAGGTGTGTCTGGCAGAGACAAGGAGCTGGGAAACCATGAAGCCTGTCTCCATCTTGTCCGCCCCTCACACCCATCCTAAACACCTTTGCTCCCAACCCCTCTTCCACAAGGCAGTGCTGTGCCCCACTGCTGCCAAGCTCCCAACTGCCTGGGACTTGACATTAGATCTTGTTTTCTCCTGTCTCCCCTCATGGGTATAGCACTACTAAGTGAACAGGAATGCACAGAACAAGAGAGTTCAAAGTAATTGAGGTACATTCATTCAGAAGCCTGGATCCCTGCCCACTCAGAACCTGCAGCATTTACACAGTTTCAGAAAGTTTAACCCTTTTTTATTGAACCTGGTAATGCTCTTTCTAGCACAGAGTGTTGCACTGCTCTTATCAGTGACCAAAGACACTGCAAGGTGTCTTTCACACATCCAGCTCAAGGTGCTTATCTCTCAGTGTTCTATTCCCCTTTGCTCTATGAGACAGTGACTAAAGACCTTGTCATTTTTATGATGCTCAGGGAGCTGTGTTGCAGAGGAATGATCACTTACTGTCACTCCCAAACACGCCTGACAAAAGTCTTAGTTATACAAACAGAACTGTACTGGGTTTTAAAGAGCTTACGCGTTTTTCTGCTGCAGAAAGGTGTAATCTCACTTTTAACTCTGCAAAATCACTGAAGAAACAGAAACATTCCAAATAATTGTAACTGTAAACTCTTCTTTTTCCCCTGATGATTAATTCTGAACAAACTCTCATTTCAATTTAATTCAGGAGATGATGTTAGTTGGCAGCTTATTACTGACCTTAAATTTGTAAATAAAAAGGATTTGTTCAAGAAAGTACAAAATCTAACAATGGAAATTCTTAAAATAGGCTATCAAATAATTTTTCTGTCTGGTTCTAACCATGCATTTAGACTATCTGTAAGCTTCAATAATGCTGCACTGTGTAGGTCAGATAAGCAGAGGACCTGATCAGGAACAAGAGTTGATCTGATTTGCCTGCTTAATTGGTAGTAACAGTAGAAATGCCTAAATAGAAAAAAATCACCCTTGAAAAATTATATAGTCTTTAGTAATCTTCCATTGACAGTTGCTTGACAAAAGACTGTAGGGCCCATCATTAGCACAAAAACATAGCAATGGGGTTGCATTTATTTACCTGCAGTTCAGACCTAATTATATCCTTTTACAAAACATTAGAACACATTCAGAGCTGCTTCTGAAAATGTTTAAGTACACACAGAGCTTTACTCAGTGATACTGTTTTAATTAACCTGCCAAAGCATTTGCCAGAGCTGGCCCTTTATAAATGTACATATATAAAACAAAACAAAAAAACGATTTTGAAATGATCTGTTTATCATTCGTTTAATCAGATGGAGGTAGAGCATGTAATTAAAGCATGCAAGTCCCAGAAACATTTCAGTTACTACAGCCATACAATTTACATAAATGTCTGAAAGTTACTAGCATATGCACTACATCAGATGCTGCCTAGCCTTATATTGTGCCTAGCCCTATATTGTGCCTCATATACAAGAATTACAGCCAAATTATTCTTCAGACAGTGTAGTGCTGTGTTGCTAGTTTTGCATTTTTAAAGCTGCTTGAGCAGTTTATACTAAATGTGTCGTTTCAGAGAATCAAAAGCATAGTTCAAATCCTAACTGGGTAGAAACAGGGAACATGAAGGGCATTCAAAAAACCCTAAACTAGGGCTATGTGAAGGGCATTCACATAGAAACAAAAGATGATTTTAAAATCTGCTGGTTAAAACACCTGTTTCTAGGATAGAATGGGTAAAGAAACGTCAGCCAGAGTCCTCGGAAAAAGCCACTGAAGTCGCATGTTGTCTAAACATGTTAGTGTTGGATGGATATCCGCTTGCATGACTTCAAATGCTATGCTGACGGGAGTACCCAGATCTACGTTTGTAATAACAAGCATCAAGCGGCTATATACTGCTAAACAGTTAGTGTAAATAAATGTTATGCCGATTTCTTTCCTGGTTCTGTAATTAGCTCTCTGCATACAGGCTCTGAGACGTTCTCATCGTGGACTGCAAAGCGAAGGGGAGGAGTGCCAGGCTGACCAGAAAAGTGCTTTTTCACATCTAAAAAACAGCCTTCGCTGTAATTGATAGGGGATAAGTTTGTGGAGGGGGAGGTTGCCAACACCTCTATGGATTCACAAACCCTCTCTCAGAGCTGCAAGGTTGGTAGGGCCAGGAGAAAGGTGGGAAGTTTGGGTTTTTTTCCAAGGCTCCGCTACGTGTTGCACTTTTCCCATGCAATGTGAGCCCTTTCGTGTTGCACTAAAGGATGGCGTCCCTCCTTTTTCTCCTCCTTCAGTGAAACATGCAGGAGCTTAACTCACCGTCTCGTGTCTTATGGGGAAATACGCTCTGCGTCGAAACCACACCTCAAAACAAGTAAATAGAAACTTGCCTCACTGGGGGGGGGGGGGGGGGGGGGGGGGGAGGAGGAAACGGGACTGGACGGTGGGGTGGGGAGACAATAGGCGCTCTTTTCCTCTCCCCTTCTTCCTCCTCCTCCGAGCTACTTCTGTAACAGCATTTTCCCGGCGTACGGTAAAGATGTATATTACAGCACCGAAATGTATTAGCAGCAGGTTTTGGAGTATGAGTTCCCTTCGGGACAGAAAATAATAAATTTGAATGACTGCCTCTAAACCCCTTTTGAAGTTGAAAGGCAGGGCAGACGGCTATTTTCCAATGTCTGCATTTAGCAGCGCTTCCTTATAAATAATAGTAAAGCACGAGAGGGGCCACAGCAGACCGCCGCACTTGTTGAAAACCTTCTTTCACTTCGCTGCGAGCACCAAGCCGTCCGTCCCTCCCCGTACTGAGCCCTGCCTGCACAGCGCACAGGCACAGCGCAGGGGGCAGCCCGGCTGCTGAGCGCCGGGATCGGGGGCGGGCCGGGAACCGGTACCGGCCACCCTGCCCTGCCACCGCCGCGCTCTCCTCGTCCGGGCACTCCACGGAGGCCCAGGGCGGGCGCGGTGCGGGGAGGAACCGCCCGCGCTCCCCGTAGGCAGGGCATCCCGCAGGGCCGGCCCCCTTCGTCGGGCTGGGTGGGGTGTAGGGGGGGGCGGGGGTGGAGTAGGGTGAAATAGAGGCGGGCGTGTATCACCGGGTAGATACCCGCGGCCAGGTACAGGCGGAGGCACTGACGACACTGGAGTGGCTGGGCGCTCGGGCTGTGGCTCCTGGGGAGTGAGCGCACGACTAGCCACCGCCTGCCCGCCCGCCCGCCCGGAGCCGCCCGCGGGCAGTCCCCCTGCGCCGGGGCGGGCAGCCCGTCCGCGCCGCACCCGCCGCCTCCTGCAGCCCGCCTCATGGCTACCAGAGTGTTGACCATGAGCGCGCGCCTGGGTCCCGCGCAGCAGCCCGAGGAGCCGGTGTTCGCGCAGCTCAAGCCCGTGCTGGGGGCCAGGGACGCAGCGATCTTTCCCGGGGACGACCTCAAGCAGCAACAGCCACCGCCGCCGCCTCAGCAGCAACCGCCGCAGCAGCAGCAGCAGCACCCGGGGGGCGGTGGCGGCGGCGCGACCCTGCCAGCCGAGGAGATGGTACAGGTAGGCGGTGGGCAACCCCTCACGGCCCACCGGCAGTCGGCCGGGCGGGCGGGGAGTGGCCGTGAGGAACGGACGGGCGGGAGAGCGGGATTGGGTGGGGCCGCGGTGCGGGCGAGGGCAGCGGACCCCGAGGTGCGAGTCTGGGTCGGCGGGTGCGTGTGTGAGGGGGAGCGGCCGCCGCCGCCCAGCCCGCCTGCGCGGAGCAGAGAGCGCTCCCGCCTTCCCGCCGGCGGAGCCCGGTGAGGCGGCCGGGGCTGAGGCGGGGCGCGGGCTCCAGGGCGGCTGACGGGGCGTTGTGGGGAGCGGGGCTGCCCCCGCGGGTGTGTTGAAAGCCGCAGCTGCTGCCTGCTTGCTTGCCCGGCGGCGGGATTAGAGCGGCCGCCTGTCCCCTCGCCCACGCTAGGAGTCATGTTCAGGGGGGAACGGGGACACGGCACACCGGGCGAGAGGGGACTTCCCGGGACTTTCTACCCGTCCCGGGAGCGGATCCACCGGCAAACAGCTGGAGGAGCTAACAGGAGCAAGGCGGCGGCCGCAGCCCCGCGAAGGGTGTTCGCTGAGAAGCGGCACCCGGCAGGCAGCGGCCGTGAGGAGACACCGACCTGGAGCTGCTGCGTGTCAGCCTTGTCCCTGGGAAGGGGCGTCCCGGGGATCCCCCGGTGCCGGGCAGCGGTCTGACGGGAGTTGCGTTTCGGTAGCGCCTTCCCCAGCGAATAAATAAGTCTTCAAAGCGAGCTGCTCTCGGCTCGTAAACAAGGGCTGGAAAAAGTAGCCTGGCATGTCGGGGCAGATCCACATCAAAGGGACGGGAAAGGCGGCTCTGTTTGTGGTGTTTACCGGGGGTCTTTGAAGAAAGGCCCTAAAAATCCACTTTCTGGCAGAGTTGCTGTTTGTCAGCTGCTTTCTCCTGTGGGGCGCTAAACGGGTCTGGTATGAGCGCTCTCTTGACAGGGCAGGGGGGAATGTAGCATTTGCCCACTGGAGAGTGCGTGATAAATGCTTTGCCGATGACTACCAGCAATGGATCGGGCTCCAGCCACCCACGGATTCCCTCGCACCACTACGCTAAGGGAAACATTTCCCAGTAATTAAAGAGCTTTCCTAGTACCGAGGCATGCATGGATAGACACATGTTTATCACGCTGTTGACCAATTATACACTGTATAGATTACTATTTTATTTAAAGTATAGTGCTGGAGACGCTTCACACAAAGGGTACTCTGAGGCAGTCAACCCGTCCTCTTATTTAGCATTATTTATAACTTTAACATTTTGGTGTCGTATTTTTAATCAAATGCCTTTGGTTAAAAAATGATGATGAAAGATATTGGAAGTATATATAGGAAAAAAAAAAACAACATTATTTGAAGTGTTAGCATTCAAATAGCCAGCTGAGGATGTGGCTTTTAGCGTTAGCATTTCAAAGAGAATCGGGTGAAACAGATAGGCAGTCACCCTGCTCCAGCAGTGAATTCCAGAGCGGGAGATCTGCAGATTAGGCAGAGTGCCTGTCATTTATGCACCTCGCGCTGTCTGGTAGGCATAAAAGATGGAAAGTTTGCCGTGCACTGAAATACCGGCTCGCTCTTAGTGCTTGCTGTGCATGAACGACTCATGCCATGGCTTTTTCTCCTTGTCCTTGGTGATGTTGATTATCACGCCAATTATAAAAGACAGATTTTCATTAGCGTGAAGGTTTATAGCTTCCTCTGTAGGTAGCTTGTGGCCAGCTGAACAGTATTGTTTTATTTGCAAAACCTCACGTGAGTTGCATGCCATCATCTTTCTCAGATGGTAACAAATCATGTGGGTTATGGTTTGTTTTCTTTTTGTAGACAAGATGTGAAATGGAGAAATACCTGGCACCTCAGCTTCCGCCTGTCCCCGTCATCCCTGAGCATAAGAAATACAGAAGAGACAGTGCCTCGGTTGTAGACCAGTTTTTCACTGACAGCGAAGGGTTGCCTTACAGCATCAACATGAATGTCTTCCTCCCCGACATCAGCCACCTGAGAACTGGCCTGTACAAATCCCAGCGACCTTGTGTAACCCACATCAAGACAGAGCCAGTCACCGTCTTCAGTCACCAGAGCGAAACTACCGCCCCTGCCCCCCCCACTCAGGCCCTCCCCGAATTTACCAGCATCTTCAGCTCCCACCAGACCCCTGATGTGAACAACATTTTCATCAAGCAGGAGCTTCCTACTCCAGACGTTCATCTTTCCGTCACACCCCAGCAAGGCCAGTTGTATCAGCTCCTGAGCTCACCGGATTTAGATATGCCCAACACTACTACTCAGGCAGCCGTGATGGACTCCCTTAACAATGTCTCCATGCCATCAGCCATGACGGGCCTTAACACGCTCTCCTCGGCTGTTCCACAGACTGCAATGAAACAGTTCCAGGGCATCCCCCCCTGCACCTACACCATGCCAAACCAGTTTCTGCAGCAGCAGGCCACTTACTTCCCTCCTTCCCCTCCAAGCTCTGAGCCTGGAAGTCCAGACAGACAAGCAGAGATGCTGCAGAATTTAACCCCCCCTCCGTCATACGCTGCAACTATAGCTTCCAAGCTGGCAATTCACAATCCGAATTTACCAGCAGCTTTGCCCATAACCCCCCAGAACATCCAACCAGTCAGATACAACAGGAGAAGTAACCCAGATTTGGAGAAAAGACGTATCCACTACTGTGACTATCCTGGTAAGCGATCTGTGCCAGAAAATACCAGCTCTTGCAATAATAAAAATGGGGAATAATCGTGGATGGGGTATAAGTGTTTTTTCTTTAGCTGTAGTCTGCACCTAGGGAGAATCAAATATTTCCTTGCCGAAGTAAAATTTTTCTGGTTTGTGTGGCACATGTTCACATGGTTTAAATAATATACACCCTTCATGTCATTTATCATTCTCTTAAATACCTGATCTTATTTTACCATGATGCAAAAATTGTACTCTGTAGGAAAAAAAAAAAAACAATAAAAATTACGGCCTCCTGTAATGTAAGTCAGTGTGACCATGTAGCTCCTGCTTGCACTTTCCTAATGCCCATGATGGAGCAGAGCCTTTGTCCAGTGCATCACAGCTCAGTTAGATTCTGCTCACGCTGAAAGAGCCATTTCAGCTCCCAGTAGCCGAGGCCATGGCCATTTCTTCTGTTTTACAAACGGGATCCAGCTGCCCACATAAATCCATTAAAGTTGTCCCTGAAAATTGTCCACAGATGGATTCCCTTCCATCCTTTTCTGTGTTGAAGGAAAGATAGACCTGGCTATAAACTGCGCTGCCATGTAGTACATGATCCCAGATAAAAGATACTCACACCCATCCGAGCACAGAGAAAAGCTGCTGCTCGTGGCTCATCTCCCCCTTTACCAACATAACTCTCAGTGAGGTATTACCCATTCAGTGTACCTTGTGATAAATGTTCAGTGGGAGAGTTACGCTGAGCCCTGAATGACAGTGACTCCAAGTCTGCTTTGATGAAATCCTTTAGGAAATATTTAAAAAATAAAGTTCTGCTCTGAGATTTTAACCTACCTAGCAGGTGTTACAGTACGTAGATTGTAGCAGCTATTGGTCTATCCTACATTACAAGGTAGTAAGTCTACCAGAAACACGCATTTTTCTCTTCTCTGTGTAAAGCAACATAGCCCTAGGAACTTTCTTTATCAAATCTTAACTCTAAAGAATGATGGTGCCAGAAGGTACTAAACTTAAATGTTTCCAGCTAGTACCCCAGCACCTAAATGTAACATGGAGTGTTAATGTTCTCCCTGCTGAAATGCCTCTCTGCTTTTTTATTTTGTCTTGTAGGCTGCACAAAAGTTTATACGAAATCTTCTCACTTAAAAGCGCACCTGAGAACTCACACGGGTATGTACTCACTGTATCTCACAGTCTCTTGTTCGTTCATGGCTTACACATTTTCTGAGAAAGTAAGCATGTTTGATCTGCCATCTTCTCCCTGCTTTCCGTGGAGTGCTATGGGTTCAGGCTAGCTGTTCAGTTAAGAAAAATTTTAGGGTTCAGTCAATGAGGAGAAAAATTGCTTTTATTCTTGCTGCAGTTTACATAAACCTTTTATAATACAGAACTTGAAATAGGTAAGAATAAACAGATAAAGCTTTCCTTTTCAATATAAAGTGTTACCAAAAAAGGACTTTTTTCCCCTGAATAATGAATTAATCGTAGTGAACATATTAGAGTTTTCAAGACTCATTTAAATAGGTAGAATTTTCTTGCTTGGGCTTTTTCTTTGACCTGTTAGAATTATTTAGTCTTAGATTTTTTTTTTTTCAGAAATGTCATGAAAATTCCCAGGATATTTCTGTTTCCTTAGCTAAGTATGCCTTTTTTTTTAAAGACAAATTATTCTATATATTTATTTTTTAAAAAGAGAGTTAATTTTTGGTCAGTGAAAGACATTGCAATGGAGGAAATTTAAAGTGTCAGTGTGTCACGCTTGGTTTTTGTACCTCAGTCAAATTCTGCCAGCAGCTACAGAGGCTGTCCCTGTTGGTGGGCCTGCATGGAGCAGAGCTGGGTACAGTGTTGCTTGTGCATGGGTGCAGGAGCCATGCAGGCAGAGGACAGGGTTGGAAGGTGGAACCTCCTGCCCTAGGTGCTTTTCCTAAGCATTCACCCGCTGAGGCAGGGGGAAGAAGGAGAGAAATGGGAGAAAAACGTAGCTCACCAACAGCGTGCCTGAAACTATTTAGGACAGTTCTTAGCTGGGATGTTTGTACAGAACTGCTCATGCTAAATCAGTGAATGCACATGACTGATCTCGTAAATAAATGAGAGAGCTGTGACTCCTGTTTTTAAAACAAAGAGTGAACCCCACCTCTTCTCTGTGTGGACCTCGATTCAGAGCAAAACACAAGGCAGAGTTGAAGCAACTTGTTTATTGAAGCAGGCTGTCGGCGTTGCAGCTGTGCCGTTCAAGTAATGGGGTTTCACCTACATTTAAATCATAAATCAGAACAAAACTTAACATGAGCTATGATCTAACAAAATGTTTTGCTATCTCTATGGAAACAAGGCCTTCTATTCAGCAGCTATTTTGAATCGATCGTTGGATTATCGTAAAGAAATTGAGTATCTCCAGGCTAAATGTTACTATAGAAATTTTGTTTTGATAAATGAGTTATCTGTGCTGCAGTCACAGTCAAAAATTACAAGCAATCGTACAAATGTTACTGCCTTGCATTAGTAATAGACTAAGCAAGAACACTGTTAAAAATATTTTTGATATATGTAATCACTCCTTAGCCATAAACTCAGTAAGAAGGGAATATTTTCATGAGGCTCTAAACCTGAATAATCTCAGCGAGTATAATCCTGTTGCTCTTTAATAAATAATCTGTAAATTTAAGGGTGTGTGATTTCCCCTTGCGCACTTTAGCCAGCAACTAAATACAGCTTTAAATATCTCACTTGCTATTACACGATAACTAGGAAGAGAGATAAAAGCAAAGCTTTCGTCTAAGAACGAACAATTACATAGTCAGCATTTCAAATGTACTCATTTCCTTTGTAAAATCAGTTTATATCTTTTTTTTTTGGTAACGACTGTAGGGTGTATAAACTTAATACCTGTGTGCACAGAAATACAGACCATGTTGCTAACATATATTGATTAGGGTCACTAATGTTTATTGTTGCCTTCACTTTTTTACCTATAGATATTTGACCTTAGAAATGCGGACGAATGTGCAAAGGTCAGAGGAGCTGATGTATTCATGGAAACAAGAATGTTGTTTTAGATAAAAATCTAGTGAACTTAAGCAGGTCTGTAATACAAAGGGTCTTCTGGGGAGGTGAATGAAGGGATAAACTGTCTAAGGTGTGCATTACATGCAGGAATGTGAGTCTGTATCCTGTTACCTGCATTATTTCACAGTTTGCATTAGTTTAACTGTCTTGAATATTCAGTTAATACTTGAGGATTTCCAGCACCGATTCTGATCTCTGCTTTAACATATGGTTGAAGTGTATATTATGGGGAAAATCTCTGACTTACCCAGTACTGTAAATCCATTAAGTGAACGTTAAAGTAAATGAGTGCAAACTCGGGGAAACCTGTGAAGTTGCACATCTCCCCCAGGAGCACAGGGGAATCTTGTTATTGATCTCCAAAGAGAAGGGCTCCATGCCGAGGGCTAAATTTGGGTGTGTACCTCTGTGCATCCCATCCCCCAGCACTGTGAATTCATACTGCACTATGAAGTTTTGATTATTTATTTTTTAAGGGTTTTTTTTTTCCTTTTTTTTTAAGGACTTCTGTGAAGCTTTTACCTTCAAAGTCTAAAGCAAGTGTCACGTAATCCATTTTAATAAAGTTGTGTATGATATTCTTTCAAATCCCTTCAGGTATAGCAGACCTGTTTATCTGGCTAAACCCGTTCTTTAGTAATCATGGACCACTGAAGTTGTTTTCTCCTTATTCTTAGTTTCTTAACAATACCTTTTAAAATTGGCTGCAGTCTCTCTCTCATCCCAACCAGTTCCCGCCCTTTTCAGCAATCTGTCATCTTAAAATAAAAGAGCCTGCAGCAGAGTTTGTCTGCCATTAAAAGTCAAGACAAACCTTATGGTTTTCCTTTTGTATTGGAAAATCTCAGCCTTTTCACAGTATTTACTTAGCAGCCTTTCTCTCTGAAAGGCTTTCACTGGGTTTAGTAGGCATTCTTTGAGAACAAACCTAAGGGACATGTTATTTTTGATAGGTGGAATGTAGGCTGTGGTCTTTTTTTTTTTCCTTTTTTAAATTCAGATCTGAACACACTGTCAGACTTTATAAATTACAATTAAATAAAACTACAGAAAATGGGCAAAAGAAAAATCCATTGCATTTTTCTTCTTGGGTGTGCCCAAGGTGTTTACCTTGCACCATGTCAGGTGGTATTAGCTGGTGTAGTTATGCTGATTTAGTGTAATTACACTGAACTTTTGTAGTTGATGAAGAATCCAATATTCACTAACGAGCGAAGCAAGGTTAATGTGTAAGGAGTACCTGTCACTGAAGCAGGCATGTGGGTTTTTCTCTCTAAGTAATGCTGTAGCACTCATAAATTGTGAAGTAAATTTTAGTTGTGTGTGTTAGGTAACCCTAAAATTGAACATGAACGAAGATTTTAATGCTGCAAAGTTACAGGACATTTTGTATCCATCTGCACGCAGTTCTGAAGCAGATGTCTGATACATTTTAATACCTCAAAACTCTTAAGTATGATATCTTACCTCTATATTATTTGTTCCTGAAACAGGTAAAATGGTATTCAGTATGCTAAGGTACCTGTTGGAACATCTCTCAAACAGATTGGAGTTTTTGACCTTTTGAAGCAGGGATTTTTCTTTTAAAACAATTTTACCTGTTAGTCATGGAACAAGTTTTTGTTTCATAACCAGCATTGTGCAACTATGGTATATGATTGGGGACGGAGTTGTGCATTTGTTGCAGGCTGTCCAGCAGTAAAACCACCTTCAGGCTCTGGCATAACAGCTATAATGTGCCAAGTGTCACTGAAAAGCAGTTACTTGTGTGTTGTAGATAAACCTCATTCAGTTCCTTTTCTGGCATCTGAGTATGTACACATATATATCAAGTACTCCCTTAGAAACAGCATTCCTATAACTTACCTTGTTAGATTTCTTAATGTTAAAGATACGCATTGTGGAAGTTGAGCCCTTGATATTCACTGTGGGGAATACCTTACCTGGGCCCTACCTGTAACGCTGCAGAAGAGCTGCTGGCTCCATGGTGGGGGTTTCCTTTTATTATTTCTGTGAACAGCTGCACACTTCAGACTTGTGTATGGTTTTAAGAGGAAAATCTGTCATTGTTTTGAACACATCAAGGCACACACATCGAGGACATTTTCCAGCTGCATATTGGTTTTCTGTATACAGAGTCTTTGTACAGGCATGTTGTCTGGTCACATGGTGGGCTTGCCATTAATAGTTTCAAGCATTAACTGCAGAACTATTTCATCTCTATCTATAGATCTAGTTTGGTGATGGGAAGTGGAAGCTGAGATAACTGAAGAGAAATGGCATTTCTCTAAATGAGATCCACTCAAAATACTTCCACTGTTCCTAGTTATTTCAAATGTTTATGTAAGCATGGGACAGCTGCTGACTTGTGTGGTTCCTCAAGGTGTTAAACATTTTTATTTTAGATCTCTGCCTCAATAGATCCAGAATTAGGCGCTGATCAACATCGGTATTAGGACCAGTTGTGTGCAATAGACTTCCACAGCCCATAGGACTTGACACTCCCAGCTTACCATAGCTGTATGCGGATGCTTGTCAAAGGAGGTACCATACAGAATTGCCTGGGAATTTGGGATGCCCGTTGTTCAGAAGGAAGGACAAGCAGTAGCTGGTCTTCTACTGCAGAAAAGCACCTTTTGAAAACATGTATTGACTCAATTCTGAGACTTACGTGGGGGATTTCTCTTATGGTGTACAAGTGGGGAGTGGAGGCCTCAAGATTCAGCTTTGCTCAGGGTTGCAGCATTCTGTGTACATAGCAAATCTCATCCTGGAAAAATCTTTGCATCATGAAAACTGCTATTAAGTAATACCTCTGTGCAGATTCTGCTTCTTTAACCTGCTAGATGAGTCAGTTGCACAGATTATAGTTTAAGGGAGGTGTCGGTAAATGCCATCATTGATAGAGACAATAAGGAAAAATAGAGGCAAGTTAAATAAAACTATTGACAAAGTGCATTAAAGTGCAGTGTTGCTAGACACTGCTGGAGAATATGTTGATATCTTTTATTTATGAATTCTGCTAAATCCATTAGTTGCCTGTATGAGAAATGGAAGTACATTATTTTCCTGTGCAAACCACAGTTTAAGGGAAAATA